AACAAACTTCTTCTTGCTACTCCAGGCTGTAAATTCTCACTGCTTCCCAGCCTTCCTGGCCATTCCACCTGCACAGTTCAAACTTGTTCTGGATTCTATCATTTGGGCTTTCAAACATACAATGAGAAATGTTGCAGATACAGGTAAATGGCAGGGTTTGATGCAGATCAGGTATTTTCTGGTAGAATGCTGTTTTCTTTAGTCCAACTTGCCATATCAGTCATGTGATTTGTACAAGAAGAATATTCCTGTGCCTCAGCTCCAAGGTGTCAGCCAGGTGTCCAGGAATGGGCTGAGATACTTGGTTGCTGTTTCATTCCTGTAGCTGGAAGGGAGCAGTGTTACAGTTTCTTCTTGCACTCTTCTGAAATGGCTGAAAAAACCTGTGAAAACACTGATTTTTTTTTTTTAGTCATTTGTCTTTTATCAGTGCGTGGAAGGAATGGGGAGAAGATGCTGTTTGGTTGTGTTTCACCTGGAAAAGTGATTTAAGTTTCCACGTAAATCTGAACGTTAAAACACCTTCCCTTGTTAAATTAGCAAGCACTGGGGTGAGGGTTTCCCTCATTAGGTGCTGTGATTTGCCCTCTTTGCTGACGATGTGCTAATGCAGCTGCAGGGCTGGGCCCTGTCAGGCCAGCAGTGCCCTCTGGTGCCTGCGAGAGCCCTCACGAGCCATGCTGGGCTTTTTGGGGCCAACCAGAATTCCTTCACACGTTTCTGTCATTTTGGAAAAGACCAAAATCTTACAGCTGTTTGAATATTGGTCAGTTGGTAACTTTAAAGTTTTGTTTTGTTTTTCCCAGGACTTCAGATCCTTTACACTCTCCTCCAGAACGTTGCGCAGGAGGAGACGGCTGCCCAGAGCTTCTACCAGACGTATTTCTGCGACATCCTCCAGCACATCTTCTCCGTGGTGACAGACACCTCGCACACTGCAGGTAGGAATGTGCCAGTGGGGAGGCAGGGGATGGAAACCATCCCTCTGAACATCAAATCATTCCCGCTGGGAACTCATCCCTGCGGTCTGACTCCCTGATCCCTGCAGGTTTGACAATGCACGCGTCGATCCTGGCCTACATGTTCAACCTGGTGGAAGAGGGCAAGATCAGTACTCCCTTGAACCCTGGGAATCCGGTGAACAACCAAATGTTTATCCAGGAGTACGTGGCCAATCTCCTCAAGTCTGCATTTCCTCACCTCCAAGAGTAAGTCTGCCCCGATTCCTTAGTGCTTCCAGGTGGGCTCTCGTGCCTTGGGGATGCTTAACGGGTGTGTTTGTGTCAGTGCCCAGGTGAAGCTGTTCGTAACAGGACTGTTCAGTTTAAACCAGGATATTCCTGCCTTCAAGGAACACCTAAGGGATTTCCTGGTCCAAATCAAGGTATGTTGGCCGTGCTTTTTGCCGATATTAAAACCAGTTTTTCGGCAGGATATTGTTGGGAAGCGCTTGGATGGTGTTCATTCAGTGTTTGCTTGGGAGATAAAGTTTCCTTGCAGCTTCTTAAAATGCAGTGAGAACTCTGTCCAATGGTTTATGGTGTTCCATGGAATCTTGTTTCAGTGGGATTTAAGTTTTTAAATTGGGCTTAAACATCATCACTTGTATAATTGTCAGATATTTCCCAACTGTAGTGATTCTGCTTTAACTGTCAGGATTCTGCTCCAGATGGGTAATAACTGTAGCATCTCCCTCCTGTGACACGTGGTGGGAATCCCCAGTTATTTTGCATTGCTTTCTATTAATTCTGACCTTGTGTGATAGATCAAAACCATCACACCTTGGGAACAGAAAGCCAAGCAAACAGTCTGTCAGGGGATGGGAAAATGTTTTCCGTGTCGTTTTGGAAGCTCAAAACTCTGCCTAAAGCACTTTGGCAATAAACTGATGACTTTTATGTGAATTACCCAGGAATTTGCAGGTGAAGACACATCAGATTTATTCTTGGAGGAGAGAGAAACAGCCCTTCGACAGGCTCAAGAGGAGAAGCATAAACTTCAGATGTCTGTCCCCGGCATCCTTAATCCACATGAAATTCCTGAGGAGATGTGCGATTAAAAACAAAAATAAAACAAGTTTGGCAGTTTTCTTTCTGTACAGCTACTTTGTTGTGATAGAAGAAAACAGCACTTGGATATTTGTTGACCAAAATGATGCCAATTTGTAAATTAAAATGTCACCTAGTGGCCCTTTTTCTTATGTGTTTTTTGTATAAGAAATTTTCTGTGAAATATCCTTCCATTGTTTAAGCTTTTGTTTGGTCATCTTTATTTAGAGTTGCATGAAGTTGAAAATTAAGGCATTTTCAAAGTAATTACTTCATGCCCATTTTGTGGCTAAGGGGAAAAAAATAGGCAAAAAAACCCCGTTAACTTGTAAAAGACTATATTGCAAAATAATCCAATTTCCTGTAAGAGTATCGATTTTTTTTTAATTTTTTTTTTTTTTTTTTAAATTCGGTTTTTTTTCTAGTCTGTCCTGCAGTCTAGGAGAAAAGGTGAAGAGTAAAGCAGATGGAATTCATTGTTCAGCAGAGGATTCTAGCGCTGCCTTTGTTCTGAGCAGTTCGCAGCTTTTTGGGAGCGAGTGGTAAGGCTGTAGGCTATGTGTTTATTTGCAAGTTGTATGGCAAGTTTGCAGCGAGATCATGTGCATATCATCCCATTGTAAAGCAACTTCGGAAGAGTATGGGAACACAGTACAGTCAGTTATTTTTACACAGTTCTTTTTGGGTTTTTTTTGTGTGTGTGCTGTCGCTTCGTCGACAACAGCTTTTTGTTTTCCTCAATGAGGAGTGTTGCTCATTTGTGAGCCTTCATTAACTCGAAGTGAAATGGTTAAAATATTTATCCTGTTAGAATAGGCTGCATCTTTTTAACAACTCATAAAATAAAAAAAAAAAAAAAAAGAGAAAAAAAAACCAAACAAAAAAAAAACTGGCTTTTGAGATGACTTATACTAATTTACATTGTTTACCATGCTGTAGTGCTTAAAGAACACTACTTAAAAGCAAAATAAACTTGGTTTACATTTATTTTTCTTTCTTCGGCTTATTCTTTTATTGGATGAAAATGCTGTGATCATATTTAAGATTTGTATTTGAAGGTGTAGGAGGAGTTCCTTGAGGTTTTAGATAACTTGCTTCTGGCTTGCCTCATCTCAAGGCCTTTGGCTGTGCTTGAAGTGAACGTGAACTAAGTTGGGCTCCATTTGGAAGTGCAGTAGCTGTTCTGACTTACCTCCATGGATGAATATTCCATGCTCTGTTACTCTGAAATGCCAGGAATGACTGAGGTACTCTTGCTCTTTCTCTCTCTGGACTCTTTGCAGTTTATTTCAAAGAGGCATTGCACTGTATCTTGACTAAGCAGTTAATAATAGTCCGTGTTAATAACACGTGTAGACAAGATCTACAGTTATTTTTGTACCTAAAGTTTTGTAGTTCACTGATTTTCACAGATTTCTGAGCAGTGTGAACACTGAAGTTGTGTACAGTCCTGGCTTCCCCATCTCTGTAATGTCCTGTCTGTTTTCTAACAGTCGATGTCGAGCTCTCCCAAAGTTTTCCCATCGCTTTGGTGTCCAATCTCCAGATTGTTGCTACGATGCCAAGCGTGGCCGTTCCCTGAGAGCTGTCAAAGGAGGCTGGGCAGGTGTGCAGGTGTTTCCTGTCAGTGTGGGTACCGTAGTTCCCTTTGTGCTGTGTGTTCCTTTGGCAGTAGGAGTGCAGGAGTTAGCAGTGTTCCTGTAGGATTTAGCTGTGACCTGAACGTTGCCATCCCAAGTTTGTGTTGCCCTCGGACGTTGTGTGGAGCTGGCACTGGATCCTTGGAGAGAAAGCTCCTCAAACCCTGCATGGCTGGCACTTAAGAGTTCAGCCTACCAAACCCGTTAATAGTTACAAACCTGATTTCTTTCTCTCCTTAAAGCTCCTCATTTAAGCTTTTCCATGTCTTCCCCTCACCTGGAGCTTTTTGTTCCGCCCTGCGAAGGCCACATTGTCTTTAAATGGGCAGTTTAAAGTGAAATAATGCAAGTATTTCAAGGACACATCTGGGAAGGACATGAAAGGGCTCACGAGGTGCAGTGTTAGAGATACAGATCATCAGAAGCTGTGCAGAGAATGAAAGTTATTAAAATGGGGGGAAAAAATGGAAATCAATCCCACCCATAGTGTGACACCAGAACCACCAGTGAGTCACAGGACTGAGCAGGCTCTGATGTGTGGTGGCATCGACAGTGCATTCAGAACACCTTGGAACAAAACCACACAGGTGTGAAGTGACATAAGTTCCTTCCTTGAAGGCTGAAGCTGCTCTGGGGCTCATGGTCGGGTTGTCCACTGAAGAACTGAATGTGACCTAAACTCTCAACAAACCCAAAATGTATTTTTTATGTTGATTCAGAGAAGAATTGTTGCATTATTTTGATACCTTATGGATTATCTGAGTTAACACCATTTTGATCTTAGGTTTTGCTTCCCTTTTAGATCTAAAAATTTAACTGTGGTCTTGTCTTGTTCTCTTAAGAAAATTGGTGCCTTTCCCTGATCTCTGCAGCTGCTATAAAAATGCAGCTTATGCAGAGTTCTGGATACCATGAAAGATTTGACTTGTGTGTGTGCATATTTCTAGTGCAGTTATCCTGAATGTGGAAAAAAAAATAATTACATCTAAGGAAGTTCTAGTTCTAATGCACACTCTGTAAATCGAAATATATGGAGAAAAAAAAAAGCATGAACCATCATATAAACATCTACATAACTTGTAATTATATGTAAACCAATGTTTTGTGCATATTTCTATACAGATTTTACAAAAACCAGTTCTGTGTACTCCAGGTACATTGATAAATACGAATATTTGGGGGTGTTTTCTGTGTTTACATGAATTGATTGTCAGCTGATGGAGACACCCCAGGTACTTGTTTCAGGCTGCCATGATGTGTTTGCTACTGTAACTGAAGCAGATTCTCTTCCAAAGCCTTTTAGGTTAGTTGGTTTTGGTTTTTTTTTTAAACTAGAATAATTTGGTGTGTGTTAATCTGATTGGTTTAAGTGAACTATTTTCCAATAAAGCTAATATTTATGCAAAAAACAAAAAAAAGCTTTAGAAACGCTTATCTCTGCAGGAAGCTTTAGTTACTTCTGAGAGTTCTTGGCACTGGAAAGCAAGAAAATTTGAGCCTAAGGGGGAAAAAACAAGGAAAAGATGCTGAAAATGATGGCTGAAGAGGCTGCCTGAGGTGAGGGAGTCCCCTTGGTGCTGATGAGGGGCCAGACTGACCCCCAGTCCATTGAGCACTGGGTCAATGATTATTGCTGATCCAGATGCCTGGGGTGCTGTTGGGATTTGCTGGAAGGTATGTCTGTCTACACTTACTCCCTTTCTCCTCACTCACTGGGTTTGTCTCCCAACTGAAATGCTCTTTAAAAACCCTTTTGGTGCCAAAAATGAGGAAAAGAATGTGCCCCTCCCTTCAGGTGCCCATCAGGAAGGCCCCTCTGCACTTGGGTTGTTGAGACTGAACTTACTTTAGGACTTGCAGCCTCAGGAGATCCTTCATTGTCCAATCCTGCTGATTTAGGGTCAGCAGGATTCCCTTGGGAAAAGGCCTGGCCATTCCAGCAGAGGATTCACAGTGCTCCTGAAGTACCCAAAGCACATGAAATCCCAGATTTCAGATGTACAAACCTGCCCCCTGTGCTGCTGTTGGTCTGTGTTTCTCACTCCCTGTTTGTGCTGTCAGTGGGAACAAGCAGAGATGGGATGGACGAGGAAGATTTGGGAAGTTAAAAGAGTATGAATAAAAACCACACACTCAGATTTTTTACTTTTATTTGTGAGTTAAAAGCTGAACAACACTTTTTCCTAGAAGATACACTGGCAAGTCTCTCTTCCAGGTGCCCCATCAATGTGTATCAATGGGGGTCTGGGGTTTTTGTGTTGTGAACGCATTTTAAATCTAATTTTTTTTTTAAATAGTGGCTCAGCTTTTTTCTGAGTCTTGATGTTTACAGACTGTCCAAGAGAAGCTGCCTGGACTCTCTGGTAAGGTGGTTCAGTTGCTGGTGGCACTGTCATGCTCAGAAATGCCTTTTCTGTACTTCCATGTCACATTTTTTGCCTAATGCAGCCAAATTCTGAGTATATTGTCCGCTATTTGGGGTAAATCAAACTAATTGAAACTAATTGAATTTGGCTTCTTGGGGTCTAGTTAAATGAGAACCTTGTTAAAAAGTTAAAAATGCTAAGAGAGCAATGGAAGACAAGTGCTGAAACTTTAAAGGTGGGTTAACTTAGTTCTTTTGCTTTCAGTGGTTTCCAGCACCATTCCAGCCTCGAGCTCACTGATACAAGTGCACTCCCATCTTTATGTTAAAGACAGGACTGTTAGTTCAGTGTTGGGACAGGAATTTTGGAAAGTGTCTGTTCTCAAATTCTTAATCCAGTCCTAAATTTGGATTAAGAATTTTATTTTGCCCCTGTCTTTCATTTCTGTGAGTGACTCCTCTAGAGCAGTGTTGGCACTTTACCAGAGCAAATATTTCCAGATGAGGAGCTTCACAGTCAAGGGAAAGGAATAGGCCTCCTGGGGATAAAACAACCTTGCTGGAATAGCACAGGGAGAGAAGAAAGGTCAGGAGAAAGCAAAGCACAGGAGGCTGATGATAAGGCAGTTACACTTCTGCTAATTTAATCTCAGGTTAAAATCTCTAGTTTTGAAAAAAAAAATGTATGCAGTAAAAGGAATTTGGAGTATTCCGTTCTGCACAAGAGCAGGAGTGACTCAAGGTCAGCCACCAGGCTCAAGAAGGCCCCTTCCTTCTGCTGACTCTGGTGCTTACCTGGTGCTGCCCTCAGATCCAAGAGCTGAGTTGTCAGGAAAACAATATTTAAGGTGTTTCTGGCAGTTCACTTTGATTCTGTTGGTAAAGTTACTTGCATGGCCTGTAGGAGGAAGAAAAAGCAGAAAGTCAATTCAAATCAGATGATGCAGATTGTAGAATGAGGTTTTCTATGATAACAAATAATCTGGACACATAAAAGGTAAGGCAGCACAACATCTACTAAAAGTAACATATATGCACAACATCAACCCCTCTGATCCACCTTCTGATGGATCTCAAGCTCTGGAATTGCTGTAGAACAGAGGGGTGGTCACTACCTTATTCAGGCATGAGCAGAACGTGACAATTGTAATGTTCTGGACTGCTCTTTTATTTTTTCGTTATAGGAGTTTTCAGGCTATCTGGAAGAGATCACACAACCAAAAAGGCCTGGTATATCTGTGTAATTTTAATGACTAAACTGGTTAGTTATTAACTAAATCTCCATAATAGTAATAACCATTTATATAACTAATTAGTTTAATAACTAACCGGCTAGTGCTGGTTTGATTTCTCTCAGTAGACAATACATTGTTTAGAAAAGACTGACTATAAGTTACAACCAATGAGATCAGTAACAAGTTTCAAGGAAGTTTTTTTGAATTTTTACTCACAGTCTACCTCTTGTCTTTTATTAATAATACCCTTTGTTATTCTCAGAAATATGTTTGAAAGACACTTGCATTAACATGTGAATTAAGTACCAGGTAAGGAATCTGTGCCTCATGGGGACACTCAATTTTCTGTATTTGTTTAAATTAGTAAAAGGAAATTTAAGCAGGGAGTATTTAAGAATAGCCATCCTTGATGATAAACCCGACTTGGAAAGTATTTCAAAAACAAGTCGTGATAAGAAGTCCAGATGACATCATTCTGGTATGTTCCTGACTTCCACAGTAGTTCGAGCTGTTGTCTCTTATTTTTAAACAGCAGTGTAATTCTCTTAGTTTAACAAACTGATGCCTCAAGGATTGTTAGGAGGAGGGAGTTCAGGAGAGGGAGGTTACATACACAACCACCACGGTGTTACCAGCCTGGATAAATATGCTCATGCAATGAAACCCAGAACTGCATTTCTCCAATGACATCTGGCTTATTTTAAATGGAAAAAATATGAATGGCCACCGAAGAACTCAAACTAGTTTTTTGGTTTTTTTTCTTTCTTTCTTTCCCCCCTTATTTGGTGATTTTATTTTACTTTCTCCCAAACTATATGGCATCTGCATTGCGGCTATTAATAGATTTGTTTTCTTAATCCTATGTACAAGTCAGTCAAGTGGAAGGGTAGGGAGTAACACACGGACTCACCACTGGGTGGTACTACAGAAATAAAAATTAGCACTTAATAGTCATGAAGTGCCTACTTCGGGGAGAAAAACCAGCCGCGATCTGTCATGTGATCCATATTCCAGTTCCATGCACCTGGGCAAGGGAGCAGGATTAAGAGACGGCAAAAAAAGAAAAAAAGGTGGATTTTTTCCCCCCCTTTTTTAATGGAAAACAGCTGTTCGCCTTAAGACTTGCAATCCACGGCTACGAAACCTTGTTCGAAACGCGCCCAAGGCAAGAGTGAACTGGTAGCTGTAATCAGCATAAATTATGTATCTTCAATTAAAGTTTTTCGTTTATTTTTTTTTTTGAAACAGACCGTATCTTTTAGCGAAAAAACCCCGCTATTTCCAGCAAGTCGCAGATACTCTACGTGCCATTAGACACTGGGCAGAATAAATCGCTGTCCAAGAAGGGGAGGGGGAGAGCAGGGTGGAAAACTACAGGAGGTAAAAATAAATTAATTATTAGCAGAAAACGCTACCGTAGCCCTTCAAACGCTCATTTTCAGGGTCCGGTGCCCGCGGGTGCTCCCGCTCCCCTCAGCCGGGCTGGGCGGGAAGGAGATATGGCGGCAGCTCTTCCGTCCCTCGTCCCGGCGGCGGAAAACGCCAACAAACCATCCCGAAGACCTGGAAAACCGCCTGGAAGCACGGAGCTTCCTCTCTATGGAGCTGGCGGGCTAAGCGCTCCCTTCAGGCGGGAGGTCCCTGAGGCAGCCCGGGCAGCGGCGAGCGCGGCTCCAGGCACCGAAGGAAGGGGCGGGCAGGAGAAGCCGCTCCCCCCGCTCCGTTCCCTGTCACAGCGGCGGCGTGTGCGCGTTCCTGGCGGAGATTCCCGGCCGCGGGAGGCGGGAAGAGGGCAGGGAGAAGGGAAGAGGGCAGGGAGAGGCGCTTCCCGCCCTTCCCCGGGCGCGCGCCCAACCGCCGCCGCCGCCATTTTACCCTCCCGCCCCCTTTCCTCCTCCTCCCCGCTCGCCATCCCGCCGCTCGGAGCCGCGGTGGGAAGGCGGGGCGAGAGGGAAAAGGGAGGAGGAGGGACTCGGCCACCTTCGCCTCCTCCTGCCTGGTCGGAAACTGCCGAGCGGCGCCCGAGCGCCCCGTCCCCCCCTTCGCTGCCGTCCCCTCCTCCTCCTCCTCCTTCCCCCTCAGCAAAATGGCGGCGCGTGGAGTCCCTGGGAGCCAGTGAGTGACTCGGCTTCTCCTCCTCCTCCTCCTCCCCGCTGCCGCCGCCGCCGCCGCCGCCACAGGCTCATTTGCATTGATCAGCCGCCCCGGATCCCAGACCGGCCCCTGCCTCTCCCCCCCCTCCCCTTCTCTTCCCATTCCTTCCCGCCCCCTCCCTCCCCTCCCCCGGTGACCCCCGCCCCGGCCCCCATCAATCATCAATCAGCAGCACCGAGCGGATCAATCAATGGTCGGGAGGAGGCGGCGGCGGCGGCTGCTGCTGTTAATGAACAATGTGTGAGAGCTGCGCCGAGCTGCTGGAGGTGTTAAATGAGAGTAAGTGCGGCCGCCCTCCCCCGCTTCCCTCCCCCCGGGCCGGGACCCCGCGGACCCTCCTCTGCACCGGGTTACAGCCGCGCTTCGCCGCCTTCCTCGGCTCTCCCCGCCCGCCTCGGGCCTCCCGGGCGCGGGGTTCCCTCTCTGCCCGGCCATGGAGGAGCTCCCTCCATGCCCTGCTCCGCGCTTCCTTCCCCCTTCGCTCCCCGCGGCCTGGGGCGGGCCCACCGCCGCCGTGTCCCCGCTCCATCCCCCTTTCCCCCCGGGATCCGCATCCCCGGCAGCCGCGGCGGGGCCTGGCCGGGCTCGGGAGCTGCCCGGGAGCCGCTCCGGCGCTGCCGGGCCTGGGCTGGGTCCCTTTTAAGCAGCAGCAGAGGCGGCTCGGAGCGATCCTGCCTCCCCCTCCCTGTGCCCGGCCTGGGTACGCGGTGCAGGTGCGTTTCGGGCGCCGATTTTCCCGAGGCTGCGAGGGAAGCGGCTCCTGGAGGAGCCTGGCCGGGCCGGGAAGGTGCTCGCGGGTGTTCGGCTCCGGGGGTGGTCTCCGGCTCCCTCCCGAAGTTTCCTCTTCCCGAGTGTTAGCGGGAGGGTCGCAGGGGTGACGGAGCAGGTGTTCCCCCCGCTGCCGCTGACACCGGCAGCGTTTTGGGCACCAAATTCCCTCTAGGCCTCGTGTATCCCTTTGGAACCTGAGCTCCGTGGCAGCCAAGGTACCTTACCGGCTTCTCAGGGGGCTCTGCCTGACGAACAAAGACCAAAAACCCACCATTTGTACGGATGCTGAGGAATTGAAACAACTTACCAGCTGAAGTTTGTGATTAGAGGGAAGTTTTAACCATCTGGGACCTTAAACATGGCATTTTTCCTGGTTGCACCCTGCAAATCCTGTCCCAGAGAGCGAAGCACAGAATGCTGCCTCCAACAAGGTTTGGGTAGAGTTGTCTTCACTCTCACGAGGCCCAATTCCATGTGGTGTTTGCTCTTCCCTAAGATACTACAGCAGTTGTATGGTTTCCTTGCTGGGGAAATGTGATATTCACTGATGGCCGGTGTTTCATTTAAAAAATAAAAATGTAGGTGTAAAAGTAACTTTCAGGAGAGTCCAGAGGCTGGAATAAATCAGATTGAAAGGTCTACATCATAGAGAACTGTTGGGTTGTTAAATTTGTTTGCTGAGTTTGGTGAAGCTTGTACTTCCAATATCTTGTTTTGAAGGAGATATTTATTTAATTTAGCATGCATATCTTATCTTTCCCAACTGGAGAGGCGGGGAATGTGTTGATATTATAGACCAAGTGCTTATAAACAGTAGGTTCAAAATAAGGCAGAATTATCAATGGCATATACAATGACAGCTGCTTGTTGGAAGAGATAACTTTGCTTGGTTTGGTTGGAATGATAAGGAATCATGGATTAAACTTGATAGAGATTGGTGTGATCAAATAGAAAAAAGTTGTAACATTAAATCCGGTATTTCAAGGAACCTCTGAAATTCCAGTATGAATTGATTTTTACAGTTGTTTTAAGGTAATTGGGGTTGAGGCAGATAGATATTCCCATACAGATAAAATAGTGTCTTAAATTGTTATTTATGAGTAAATTTGTCTTTTTAAGTCAAATTTATTAGGGCAATTCTGCAGCACTGTTGCCGTGTAGTTAATTTTCAGAAATGCTGTTCAGGTACCATTAAGTTTGGCCTTCCCTTCAGAGAAAGGAGCTCCTGTAAATAACCAGAACTGTTTGGGGGGGGTGTGTGTGTGTTTGGATACAAAGACATGTGATGGTGCTCCCTTCTCACTGGATGAGAGTGAGTTGGGAGGGGAGGGATGGTTTCTTCTATAACTTCCAGTTGAGTTCTTTGCATTTCTCAAGTCATAACGAAAGGCACGTAATACAGAAATGATGTCAGGCCCGGGGTTTTAAAACACTGCAGCAGAAGTGAAAAGTGGTAGTAAAGAACGAGGTCATGCCCGAAAATGTGTGAACCACAGACTGCCAGCGATTCCTTCTCTGCCCACGGAGCTTTTGGGATCATCCCTGCGCTGGAACTCCCCAAACGGGCCTTCCAGAGAGGGCCAGGAAACAGCATCTTGTTTGGTTTAGGCATTTCTTGCTAAACTAAACATTTGGCCGTGGCCACGTGCTGCCTTTTGTCTGTGTTTGCCCTAATATTTACAAAATGTGGTTCGGTAGCAGCTGTGGGACAGGTCACCGGGACAGTCAATTGACAGCTCTCCAGGTGGGCTTTGGAGAGGAGCGCGTGGGAAGCTCCCGATTCCTCTGTGAGAAGATCCCAACTGAGGGGTGACAGGAGGGTGGAACTGAACAATTCTGCAAACAACCAGGCCTATTTTCATTAGAAGCATATTAATCCCTCTTCAAACTGCTTTAGTGCTGACCCACATGGCACAGCAGTGGGCAGAGGCGATTCTGTCCAGCAGTGACCTCAGTGTAGACCCAGGGTTATGTCCTGGGACGTTTGCAGCTCCTCAGGCCTGGTTTTGGCCCCACAGGCATTGGCCCTGGTTCTGTGGCACTCAGGGGCTGCCTTGGGTCTTGAACTGAAAACCTGTAGTTTGAAAATCTGATTTTTTGGCCAAAGACCTGTTAAGTATATATATTTAACATAATGCTTCATTGCCATGCTTAGGCATGAGAAGCAGGCAATATTTTATGGACAGAACCAGCAAGGTTGGGGTTTTTTGGTGTACATATATTTTTTTTTCCTTCTCTTGCAGCATCTTTATTTTCAGCATTTGAACTAAGTATGAAACCCAGTAAATTCCCTGCTCTTGAAGTTATTTCCTGAGAAGAAGTAGTAATTTCAAGTTATAATTTGATCCAGGAACTCAGCAAAACACAAATTCCCCCATGAAAAGCCCAGGCTTTGGAGGAGTTTTTGCACTATAGGACAGTCTGTTCACTCAAAGAGTCTAATTCCTCACTGAGTGCTGGAGGTTTTGTTAGCATCACTTACCTTCTCCCTGGCAGGGTTCAATAGCAATAAAGTCTATAAAAAACCTGATTCCTGAAATAATCTTCCATAATATAAACATTTTAATAGTCTTTAACAGCAAAACACACAAAAAACCAAGGAAGACACAATTGATAACGTTTTAAGATAAAGCCATTTATTTACAGAGGCTTCAGGACAGATTCTCCTGGCATTAATTAAAGGGGCTCACTTGTATGTGTTGAGGACATTCTGTGCTTTTCTGTTGATTTACAGCATTCTGTATCCCAAACTGAACCCTGATACCAATGCCCTGTGCATTCCTTGCTTTCTCTGGGTGCCAGGTCTTGTCAGTGGAGGGGAGATTGTGTTGAGTTCCATTTGTTCTCCAGCAATCTTTGCATTACTGTGCTGTGCAGAGGCCCTGCTCAGGACAGCTCTGTTCTGCTGGGCACTGCACAGATACCCAGACAGCCTTAACCCCAAAGCCAGAAAATACAGAAGGGTCACATTTACACCTGGGCTTTGCCATCTCAAGTCTTTTCCAGGAGTTTCGCAGGTTGCTGTGTCCCATCTGGAGCCACAGGGATGGTTTGAGCTGCCCACAGATCCATGAGATCCCTGGATTCACTGCCCAGGTGTTGAGTATGAGGTGCTCCGTGCTGAGTGTGTGTTAAGTGCAGGATGTGTCCCTGGAAGTGGGAGAAGTGGGAGTCTGGTTGTCACCCCAGTCCTGACTCAGCTGTCCTCGCAGTGCTGGCCGTGGCGTGTCCCACAGAGCCCGGCTTGGCTCAGCTGCCTGAGAGGCTTCCCTTTGGGATTGCAGCTGATGTTGATGTGTGTTGACTTAAAAACCCCTCGGATGGTTTTTGGTTTAGGTTTGGTTTGTTCTCGTTGTTTGCTTTGCGTTTTATAAAAGGAAGAAGCAAAAAAATTCCACCGTGGAAAGATTGATTTCATTCTGCAGCGGCCGGCGTGGTTTTAGGTTACCTTGGTAGGCCTGGGTTATTCCCAGTTCTTGGTTTCTGGGAACTGAGTTTCTTTCCTTCCCAGCATTCTGCTTTGCTTTGTTCAGTGATTACCTCTTTAGCCCATTTTTTTCTGTAACAGCTTTGCAGTCTTACAGAATCAGTTCCCCCTGATGAGTAGAGGTTTCCAGGTGCTACTCTATTGCACCAGCTAACAGGCCATTTTTCTCCTTATATTTCCTCTTAAACCTTTAGTAAAACATAAAAAACCCCCAACAACCAACCCAAAACAACCCCCCACAAACACTTTACTCAAGCACAGGAGATGGATGTAGACTAAATATTGTCATTTTCTGTCCCTTATCACTGTCG